TTGTTGTTGTGAACGTCAAGTTCATCATTATTGTAACGATTGTGTTATCAATATTTAACTTTGGCTAGGAAAGGTGGGATTAAGAACAATGCGTGGACGCAATGCAATTTATACTTGACGTAAATAGCACATAGTATAAAATACAAAAAACTGAACGTAATGATTTCAAAACGTAACAATTGAATTTATTAATATTTGATATAGATGCATGCGAACTGAAAAGGTAGGACAGAGTTGTGTCCCTTTGATTAGGTATTAGTTGTACCGGAGTTCATATTAAGAAGTAATATTAAACTTGTAATTTAGAAGAATAAGGTTTGAAATTGTGAGTTCTAAAGTTGGTAAAAGTTCAGAAGTGATTTCAGAGTTCGTGAATATTGGTAATTGTCTAACATCTGGCCAGCAATGACTAAGACGGAAGTTCCTGAAGGTTACATCTTGGCACTTGGTAGCAAGGAATGAGACGTGCGAGAGAGATGAATGAAAAGAAAACTACTACTCGAGGGAGTTTACACGTGTTGGGTTTATATAATGGTCATGAGGCTCCCAGCATATGAGCGGGAAACAGATTGGTCGCATGCAGGCGGTTTGATTGGTCAGTTCCGACCAATCAGCAAGCTAGATTGGAGGTGATTGACCAATGAATACTTGTTATATTTGTATGAAAGTAGGATGTTACTTACCAGATAGGAAGAGTGCATTTCGTAAAAAGAGGTAAAGTTGGTTTGTTGTGGAAGATCCCACACTATAAACGTTCCCTCATGAGCAACCAAACCGTATCAATGGAAATTTCATCATAGAAAGCCTTGAATTTATCATTCATGTTCAATGAAACACCCTACCTACAAAAATCAGGAACAGCCATGGTGACAAAGATTTCACCAACATATGCCAACCTAGGACATGGCACAGTGGATAAAGGTGTTAGTTAGATCCAGTGACAAGACCCAAGGAGTCTGAGTTCAATACCCGGCTAAGGCAGTGGAGAAATTTCAGCGGGAAATTAACAGGAGATAACTGACATCCATTAAAAACATGGAACTAGAACAGTCTATCCTAGTGAGCAAAATAAAGGGTTCAGTTCGACATTCCAACCACCTGAAGATGGCCGGAGCGTACAACGGCCAAAACGTTGTAATAAATATGGCAACAAAGATGAGGACAATAGTCTGAATAATGTAAATAGTGCCAGCGTAGTCATGGGATACAATGAACTAAGAATCTGTGGAAAATATATGGGAATAACTGTTTCTTTCTATGGAATGAAAATCTTGATAAACTAATGACATACCAAGCATCCCTTAATGATATAAATCCTAGCATCTAATTTACTATGGTGTACTGCTACAAAGGAAAATTACCTTTTTAGTCATATCAATAACAAAAAGAACCACAAAACTAGAAAGTGGCATATATTTTGAAGCTATTGACGCTCGATACTATCTCCCTTTTATAATCTTCCCATCCAAAACACATTCATACCAACATTCCTATCAACCTAGCCAAGCGAATAGTCTCAAACACAAAAGACCCCAGACTAGAAGTGATGAAAAAAAATACTCATCAAGAGAAAATTTAATCAACAATAGCATTGAAAAAGCAAAACAAATTAATATCCACACACTTCGAGAAACAAAAGCAAAAAAGAAATAAGAGGTCATCCCTTATATCTCAACTTTCAACCCAAAGAACACAGAAACCTACACACAAATACAACTAAATCTACCAATCCTACTAAAGGACAAAACAATGAGAAACCTGTTTCACAAATGCCCAATCATAAAAAGTAAACGCAAACCAAAATCACTAAAAAAAAAAAAAAAAAAAAAAAAAAAAAAAAAAATAAATATAAAGACACTGACGAGTGCGGGTGCAAGAATGCAGATCACAATTAAAGTACCTCAAGTGAAAAGATGCAACCGACCCCTCTGCGGAGTATGCAGCTACCTATTAGAAGGCCACGAATTTCACTTCAAAGACGGATCCAAATTCAAAATGATTTCTCGTGCAACTCTGAGAATTTAATATACATAATAACATGCAAAAGTTGCCACGAACATTACATTGGCCAAACATCCCGATAAAGAATTGCAGTTCATCTCCAACAAATTAGGGATCCCCTTCACCAGAAAAATACCCATTACCCAACATAGAGGAATTAGGAGGACGAAATTTGCCAAATTTTAATATCTTCCCATTCTATCAATGCGACTACAAAAACACTGAACAAAAGCGTACCAATAAAACATTTTTATCAGCAAGTTTAAACCAATACACAATTCATTACAAAAACCAGAGCCAAGTCTCTCAAAATAGATTCTATCATATTTTCCTTACCATAAGCGACATAAAAGTTACGCCCCTCGATTTTTTCATTTGTTCAAGTCATGCGCCAACACATGGAAATATAAACATTTTGAAAAGCTGAATGTGAAACCAGTTAAAGTAAAACAATTTTAATATTTCTCGGTAAAATTATATGTATTATAAATATTACATATAAATATTATGAGAAGCCACGTATACTTAATATGTATATATAGAAAAAGTTGCAAATTAAAAGAATGTTTTATTATGAAAGTATTTATTTATTTATATATATATTTGATATTTCAGATTGACCTCAGTCTTTCTTCAGAAATAACTGTTTGTTTACAAGTAGCCTTCCGTCGCGAGACGCGGACGTCACGTGATATGGAACGCCACTGTGTCCGAATATAATATAATCTACTATTTATTGTGCACCTTATGTCCTAGTAGTGGATATATTGGTGAATCTGGAAATAATTTTAGATTTCGCTTCAACAATCATAAACAAACCATGCATCAAAACAATCCTTATTCCCCCATAGCTGAACACTTTAATCAATCAAGACACTCATTAAAAAACTGTAAACGTTTATTGATAGATTCTGATTTCAGTTCCACATACACACGCAGAAAAAAAAAAGAAAAATACTGGATTTTAAAATTAAATACATATAAACTAGGGTTAAATAAAGACTTGGGTATTTTAAATCTTTATAAATATTTCAATAGTTAAACATTTTTTTAGATATAGTTAAAAGTTTTTTTTATTTTTTTAAACATCTAAAATATTATTACAGTTAGATTTACGTTAGGAATATTCGAACACAGTGGCGTTCCATATCACGTGACGTCCGCGTCTCGCGACGGACGCTACTTGTAAACAAACAGTTATTTCTGAAGAAAGATTGAGGTCAATCTGAAATATCAAATATATATATATATATATAAATACTTTCATAAAAAACATTATTATTCTTTTAATTTGCAACTTTTTCTATATATACATAAATATTAGGTGTTTTTCAAAATCTTATTTTCTCTATACAATATTGATTGAATAATATAAATATTGTCTTTTTATACTTGGCACCTTCCTTGATGAATTTCATCTTAGCATCAAACTGATTAGAGGACTTAGAGACACACACACATATATATATATTTTTATATATATATATATATATCGATTTAAAGAAAATGAATTTTTGTATGACCATTTTTTTTTTTTTTTTTTGCAGGACCTAGGTACCTTTCGGCCAACGCTTCATCAGGGTCTTTCGTTGGCAAATGATTTTAAACAAACAATGAAAATGAGAAGAACGGCAAAATGGTATGGTTGGAACACGTCTAAAATCTTACGAAGATATATATACGTAAAATTAAAATAAATTTACGATTAAAATAAATGCGTAAATAATGAATTAATAATAATGAACCAACCTGAGCAGTAAGATAGGAAAATAAGTTGCTCATATATCAAAAAATAAATTTAGCGATCGTGAAAAATTCTCCTTTTGTTTAGAAAGCGATGGTTTAAATAATTTCAGGCAGATGGCTTCCAAAATAGACAGATGATATTCGTAAGATGGTCGAAATGTTCTGCCTATATAAGACATGTAAATAAATTCATAAATAAAAAATTTAACGAAATGATGGGATTTGTCCATATTATTCAACCAAACATGTATGGAAAAAATAACATTAGTTCAAATAGTTATTGTTAGTGGAAGCCCGTACACAGTTGGAACATTTAGATTTCAGACGTTTACAGTCAACATGACATAATATCCATACAACCATTACCCATATTCCTTTAGGATGAAAGGTACCATGGGGAACCTAAATACCTCCCCTTTATCTGGGAACTATCAGGACTTCTTGAGAAAGATAGTGTAGTTTCAAGTTGCCTTTTCCGCGCTCTTGGAAATTAGTTTTCCTTCTAGAGTAACTGCGACTCAAGAGAAGAGAGTTCTGTCTACCTTGCTAGTGCTCGTGGTATTGTCAGCATCTGTCGGGAGAACTCCATCTCTGACGCTTCAGGTCACTTCATCTGAACACTCACTGGCATATAGCTGTTCAGCACTTGCTTCTAAAGACATTTTCCTACCTCTTAATACTCTGATTAACTTCTGAAAGGCATCTTTTACTGTTTTTATACGTCTTCGTATTTGTGTCGAACGACACACAATTTTCGCATCTGCTCGATTTTGACGACCCTGGTACGTAATTAATACAGTGAGCTGCCCATTTTGTTGATAACCGTGTATTCTTGTTTCTTGGAGATAGTGTTTTGTTTTCCCCCTGCTACGTTGTCAATTATTTATTTGGGTTAGGATATTGATGGCATATCCAGAAAGACACTGACTTTAAAGAAACGCTACAACTTCCTCTGCGGTTTCATTTTAGTTTGTTAGCGTTAAAAATTACTAAATATTTATGGCAAACGGCGGGAAATTTGGTGATAGAATATTTTTCATAAAAATAAAAATGCGCAAATTAAAGCAAGCGTTGCTGACAGCATAAAGATTTCACTAATATGCCTAAATAAAAGAGTGAAAAATATTAATTTACTTAGAAATACTTTGTCTCCAGATAGAAAGCTTTCATGAGGATGACTTAATTGAGTATAAAATTATCTCAGATTAGCCGATATAATTCGTATACGAAAGCAACAATTTAATTGTTAAGTGCTAAATGACATGTTCAGCTGTGATCGTCTGGGAATTAAATGACACAGTATTTACAGGGGGGGGCGTCATATTTGGAATGGGGTGTACAAGTTTAGCATCGCGACCGACAAAATAAAGTTTTTTTCGATAAATCATTAACAAGCGAGAGAAAAAAAAGAGAGACAGACAGACAGGAAAAAAACGAGAGAGAGACAGACAGACAGGAAAAAAACGAGAGAGAGACAGACAGACAGGAAAAAAACGAGAGAGAGACAGACAGACAGGAAAAAAACGAGAGAGAGACAGACAGACAGGAAAAAAACAGAGAGGAAAAAAAAGAGAGACAGACAGGAAAAAAAGAGAGAGACAGACAGACAGGAAAAAAAAAAACGAGAGAGAGACAGACAGACAAAAAAAAAACAGACAGACAGACGGAAAAAAAAGAGACAGACAGACGGGAAAAAAAAGAGAGAGACAGACAGACGGGAAAAAAAAGAGAGAGACAGACAGACGGGAAAAAAAAGAGAGAGACAGACAGACGGGAAAAAAAAGAGAGAGACAGACAGACGGGAAAAAAAAGAGAGAGACAGACAGACAGGAAAAAAAAAGAGAGAGAGACAGACAGACAGGAAAAAGACAGGAAAAAAAGAGAGAGACAGACAGACAGGAAAAAAAAGAGAGACAGACAGACAGGAAAAAAAAAAAGAGAGACAGACAGACAGACAGAAAAGGAAAAAAACGGGAAAAAAGAGAGAGACAGACAGACAGGAAAAAAAAAGAGAGAGAGACAGACAGACAGGAAAAAAAAACGAGAGAGACAGACAGACAGAAAAAAAAAGAGAGAGAGAGAGACAGACAGAGACAAAAAACGAGAGAGACAGACAGACAGAAAAGGAAAACAGAGAGACGGGAGAGAGAGAGAGACAGACAGGAAAAAAAAAAAGAGAGACAGACAGACAGGAAAAAAAAGACAGACAGACAGACGGAGAAAAGACAGAGAGACAGACAGACAGGAGACAGACAAAAAAAAACGAGAGAGAGAGACAGACAGGGAAAAAAAAAGAGAGACAGAGACAGACAGGAAAAAAAAAAACAGAGAGACAGACAGGGAAAAAAAAAAAGAGAGAGAGACAGACAGACAGACAGGAGGGAAAAAAAAAGAGAGAGACAGACAGACAGGGAAAAAAAGAGAGAGAGACAGACAGACAGGAAAAAAAAAAGAGAAGACAGACAGGAAAAAAAAGGCGCAGACAGACAGACAGAGACAGACACGGAGAAAAAAAAGACAGAGAGACAGACAGACAGGGAAAGCGCGAGAGAGAGACAGACAGACAGAGAGGAAGAAAAAGGAAAAAAACAGAAAAAGAGACAGACAGACAGAAAAAAAAAAGAGAGAGACAGACAGACAAAAAAAAAAGAGAAAGACAGACAGACAGAAAAGAGAGAGAGAGAGACAGACAGACAGAAAAACGGAGAGAGACAGACAGACAGAAAAAAAAGAGAGAAAGAAGAACGAGAGAGACAGACAGAGACAAAAAAAAGAGAGAGAGACAGACAGGAAAAAAAAAGACAGACAGAGAAAAGAAAGAGAGACAGACAGACAAAAAACGAGAAAGAGAGACAGACAGGGAAAAAAAAAGAGAGAGACAGACAGAAAAAAAAGAGAGAAGACAGACAGAGAAAAAAGAGAGAGACAGACAGACAGAAAAAAAAAAAGAGAGAGACAGACAGACAGAGGAAAAAAAGAGAGAGACAGAGACAGAGAGAGACAGACAGGAAAAAAAAAAAAGAGAGAGAGAGAGACAGACAGAAAAAAAAAAAGAGAGAGAGAGACAGACAGAAGAAAAAAAAAAAGAGAGAGAGAGACAGACAGAAAAAAAAAAAAAGAGAGAGAGAGAGAGACAGACAGAAAAAAAAAAGAGAGAGAGACAGACAGAAAAAAAAAAGAGAGAGAGACAGACAGAAAAAAAAAAAGAGAGAGAGAGAGAGACAGACAAAAAAAAGAGAAAAAGAGAGACAGACAGAAAAAACGAGAGAGAGACAGACAGAAAAAACGAGAGAGAGACAGACAGAAAAAACGAGAGAGAGACAGACAGAAAAAACGAGAGAGAGAGACAGACAGAAAAAACGAGAGAGAGACAGAAAAAAAGAGAGAGAGAGACAGACAGAAAAAAAGAAGACAAAAAAATGAGAGAGACAGACAGACAAAAAAAAAAACGAGAGAGAGACAGACAGAAAAACGAGAGAAAAAAGAGAGAGAGAGAGACAGACAGAAAAAAAAAGAGAGACAGACAGAAAAAAGAGAGACAGACAGACAAGAAAAAAAACGAGAGAGAGAGAGAGAGACAGACAGAAAAAACGAGAGAGAGAGAGAGACAGACAGAAAAAACGAGAGAGAGAGAGAGACAGACAGAAAAAACGAGAGAGAGAGAGAGACAGACAGAAAAAACGAGAGAGAGAGAGAGAGAGAGAAAAGAAAAAAAAGAGAGACAGAGAGAGAGAGAGAGAGACAGACAGAAAAAAAAAGAGAGAGAGAGAGACAGACAGAAAAAAAAAGAGAGAGAGAGAGACAGACAAAAAAAAAGAGAGAGAGAGAGAGACAGACAAAAAAACGAGAGAGAGAGAGACAGACAGAAAAAAAAAAGAGAGAGACAGACAGAGAGAGACAGACAGAAAAAAAAAAAGAGAGAGAGAGAACAGACAGAAAAACGAGAGAGAGAAGAAAAAAAGAGAGAGAAAAAACGAAAAAAAGAGAGAGAAAAAAGACAAAAAAGAGAGAGAGAGAGACAGAAGAAAAAAAACGAGAGAGAGAGACAGACAGACAAAAAAAACGAGAGAGAGAGAGAGACAGACAGAAAAAAAACGAGAGAGAGAGACAGACAGAAAAAAAACGAGAGAGAGAGACAGACAGAAAAAACGAGAGAGAGAGACAGACAGAAAAAACGAGAGAGAGAGACAGACAGAAAAAACGAGAGAGAAACAGACAAAAAAGAGAGAGAAGAGAGACAAAAACGAGAGAGAGAGACAGAAAAAAAAACGAGAGAGAAAGAAAAAACGAGAGAGAAAGAAAAAAACGCAGAGAGAAAGAAAAAGCAGAGAGAAAAACAATGACAGAGAGAAAAACAGCAAGAGACGCCCTTTGCTTGATGAGTAAAATAAGAATTATTCACTAATCTCATTTCATTTCCCGCCTAACTGAATCTTGACGTAACAATCTTCCTCCACTTGCACTGATTTCTAACGTAAGTGTTGCAGACAAATATTCTTCAACCTTCAAATTCAGCAAGAATTTTTACTTCACATCAGGATCTCGCCTCTTCCTCTATGCAAATCAACCTTTTTTTTTCTACAGCGCATACACACTTTGAAAATATTTATACAAGTTAGTCGACTTACTGAATTCATTTGCTAAATTTTCCCCTTGAACTGACAAAATCGCTGGACATCTTGCCGATGTACACTAAACAGATTCCAATATCTTGACAGCATCGAGGAAAGAAATAAGTAAATAAATCAAACACGAAATCTCTCAAAGAGAATAATTGTTTTGCAGTTCAAAATAGCCTCCAGACAAACCTAACCTTATTAGATAAATATAGACGCTTTAATGATAGTTCACATTGTAGCAAAGACGAGGCATTGCGTCAACGTAAGTGACTAATTAAATATAATGACGAGACAGAAGCGAACGGACAAATCTACAAGGTGCGGCACAAGTATTTACCCATTATTTAAGCATTAAAACTGAAACGTCTATTCCTAAAGACGATTTCAAATTTTGTCTAAGGCTTCCTAAAATTTCTTTTGTGATATTTAGAGTTTAATTAAATATGGCGGATCAAGCAAAACAAGTTTTGCATTGAAAATGGCTGGTATGAAAAATTGTGTGGTGTTGAAACTGATTTTATGTTTGCAGAGAAAAAAAAAATATCTGGTACTAAACAACCTCACCAAAAACAATTCCAACAAGAAAACGTTCAGTTCATACCAGATTATTATTGGTGAAGAGGTATTGAATCGGTGAAGAGGAACCTTCGAAGAAGCATGAGGAATATTGTATTATAGAGATATGGTCACTTTTGAAATATTAATAATTGTAGTAGTATGAAATTTTGTTTGTAGATGAGAGGTGTGGTCTGTGGTGAAGTTTGTGCTCTGAGAATCTTTACTCCGTCAGAATTATTAATATAAAATGTCAAAACAATAGTGTTTATATAAACTATGGAATACAAATTGAGAAGAATAGACTGTTCATTTAATCATGAAGAGAGAGAGGTCAGTAATCAGTTTGTATTTTAAGTTTACCAACACCTCGGGTTTTTGTTGCTACCACCACGTTTATTTAAGCGCGTGTTTGTGCGAAAACAAACAGCCGAAGTCGATTGGATTTGAAGCTGGATGAAGTGAGTTGACAAGCGGTCGACCAGAGAGAAAGAGAGAGGGGGGCAGTGAGAGTGAAATCGACCGCTTTCTGCTGTAATAAAAGAGGTAGTGAACTAAAGTTATCTGCATTGTTGGCGCGATACTGCCAGTAAACCCCACTTATATCTTGATAGTGAAATAATTACGGCCTCTACTAAGACAAAAAAAATGGTGAACCCGAAAAGTGCTTCTCTCCTTTCAGAATTATTTACATTATTTTTTTTTCTGGACTTTATTTCATATACACTACTTTCTTGTAAAATAAGCATTATTATTTTTGTACCAATTTCTTTCTTATATACATAAATGAATTTTTCTTTCGACTCGAACTGACTTGTTCATATTTGATTTTTCTGCTTGGGTCAATTCTCGCTCCCAACGAACGTAAAGGTAGACCAGCTGAAGATTCCGGGATTTACGTTTGATTTGCTTTCCAGTATCTGAAAAATCCCAATGTGGCTGGAAAGTGGGATCAAATCGGCATTGTGAACCGGAGACATTGATTGAACCTATGATACTGGACTAGGACAGGACCAATGGCTGGTATTGTAGAGTACATCGATCCTGTGTGGTGTTACAATATGGCAAAAAGAAATGAATATTCCGGATAAGTTATTAGGAAAGCACACAAGATTCAACGATGACAGCTGCTCTCAGATGCCTCCATGCAAAAACGGCTTGACAGAGGGAGGAAGGGTTTGGCGAGATTGTTTTTTTCGGTGTGGAGGTTGTGATCAACTACCACAACGGTAGTGTTTACGGCAATTCACCAGAAAACATCTATGAAGGTGTCAGAACGTATTCCAAGCGACTGGAATCAACTGGTGTCAATGTTTGATCTACTGTTTCTGATGGTTCGAGCGCCTTTGGTGTTTATTGAAGGAATAAGAGTGAATTGCAGTTTAACAGCAAACGTAGAAGAGATGTGTCTTGTTAGACACATTTAAAAGTGTCTGATCACTCAAGACTGAGTTCTCGCACACACGGCTAATTTGACGCAGAACTAGTGCTGGAGACATTTCCGTGAATTTTTTCACAGGTCAACTTGATTTCCGTCAAGCAGTGACATTAATCCTATGAACTTTGCGATATAGCCCATGTTGGAGACATATCTCGTACTCAAGTGATTTGGGCCTGAAAGAAGTTATGGCGTCATGGTACAATTTGAGTGAATAGTTGGTGAAGAAGTCATGTACTTCAGTTGAGAAGAGATTTAGGGTCGTGGCAAAAGCAAAGCGTGGCCATTCTGTATTGAAGACATATGTAAAATATTGTCAATAGATATAACAAGCCAGGTAACCTTCATTAAACTAAAACCTGAAGCCGCTTTATTTTATGATAAAATAAAAAAAGAGGGTAAATACATATGCCGCAAATATCTATTGATGGGTTGATTCGTTTTCAACTGTTTATCAACCCTTTGTATGTTAGCAAGAAAATATTTTTAGATAAGACTTTTTTGGGCTAATAATAATTTAGTGTTACAACTCTTAATAATTAACCTATAGCTGGGGGAAAAGGAAGTTGATTCATACCTTTATCAAGGGTATTTGCGTGTAAGCGAGCATAACGGACCCAACTGGAATTGGAACTCCGTTCTCCGATTGACAATTCTGAACCATTATCCATTACACCACCCGCACATTCAAGCTTACAGTAACTGGTATTCCCAAGCGGTCACCTATCCAGGTACTGACCAGGCTTGACGTTGCTTAATTTCGGTGATCGTAGGAGAATGGGTGTTTCAACGTAACATGACTGTAATCCCTATCCTCATCCTACCACTTGGCTTGTGCGGTATGAATCAATTGCCGTATATATGTTGTAAATACTTTAGGTACACCTTCAAAAATCTGGATAACCAGTACCTCGCAGCTGACCTTCCATCTGATCTGACCAGCGTGGCTCAATGAGAGAAGGACTGGCTTGTAAAATTCAATAAGTCCCAAAACAAACTAGTTATGTTCCAATGTCATCGAGAAGAGCACCCTCCACAACTATCATGATAGATGGGTTTTCTTTCAGTCTCTACGCCGGGAAAGTTGTCAAGACTGAGATCGTATATAGTTTATAATGAAACAGCTGATCTCTCCTCTGACAGACCTGATAGCTCAATACGGAGGGAGGACTGACTTGTGAAATTCAATACGTCCAAAACGAAACGAATAACGATTGACGAACTACAGACGAGACCCTAAAATTTCAACTATCATGATGGATTGGCGTTCTATCAAGGAGTCTCCTACTCTTGAACTGCTATTGGTGCTCAGTTTCACCACAGACCTCAAATGGAACATACATATTCGATCTAATACTAAAGATGCTGCGAAAATGGTCGGTCCATTGTACCACTTCAGTACCTATCTGACTCCTGCTATACGCTGCCTTTACAAGAGTCATATCAGATAAAAATAAATAGTGTATTTCTGCCATATAGGAACTGAATATATCCAGTCCTCACTATTCGGCATATTTAAATAAGTACATTTTTAGTGACGATTTTAATGTATAGTGCCACTGCTTGGATAATAGCTAAAACCCTAGAGTTTAAGCTTGATGGAACCTACAACCGAGAGCTGTAATTAACAGCTCTTGGAGACAACATTCAACTAAATCACAGCTTTATGAACCCATCCCTGATATTTCTACAATCTTACGCAAACACAGAATGAGCTCTGAAGGACACTGCTGGCGAGTAAAACAAGACTGTGAATAATCTACAGCTCTAGACACGTAGCCATGGCGCAAGACGGGCAAGTTGATCCTTTTTTTTTACGGCTTTGAGTAACAAGTTGTAGAGAGCTCCGATTTCTCAAATCCTGAAGGATACGACACAAATACGATATTTACAATTTTTTTCTCCTTAACCTTTATCTTAAGGTAAAAAAAAAGTTTTTAAAAAAAAAAGCACACTTAATTTTCAGAAGTGGAAATAATGAAAATTTCACATTTTATCTGATGTCAAAAAAACTGCATCTAGACATTAAATGGTTTTATTACTTATGTGCCAGCTGTTTGCTGGTTTTATCTGAACTGTGTTATTTACGGATTTTTTTTTCTTTTAATGCTAATTGGGATGCTTAAATACTGGAAAAGAAGAATTATTTACGGATTCCTGACATAAAAGTTTTATACAGCAGCAATAAGAAAAAAATATTTAGCAGCCTCTCCTCACACCTCCCAAGATTGCTTGACACATTACTTTGGATATAGATAGAGCAGACGTACATTTATATTTGAATTGGGTGTGGGGAACCTTTATGACGAAAACCATATCTATGTAGACAGAAACATTAAAGTCACGATATCACTTCAGAAATCGGAATCTACAAAACAGTTTTGACCCAATCACAGGCGAGGGATGCTTTCTTTGCCTGCGCACAACTTTCAGTTGATAGTGCTCCTTTTTTAGTTAAGGTATTTTATTTTAAGCAAATTCACCCCAAAACAGGGCAGTAAAGCCACTAAGACACAAGGGGTTACTGGGTGTGGAAGAATTCGAAAACAAACATTACGTAAGAGCGGAAACAAAAAAAGAGGAATCAGGAAAACAGTAGATGACATTGCATTTAAATTTTTAAAAATTCAAGTTGATTGGAAAGTACAAAGCCAAAAGAGACTTCTACAAGCGAGAAAAACTGTTAGCATAGAACTTACTGTTAGATCGAGCTAACTCAACTGTAAATTGATGAGATATCGTTGCTTGTCTAGTAATACGCTTAAATTTTCATCGGGACGAGTTCTTCGCTATGGTACCTAACAAGTATTTATAGGAAAGGTAACTTTAATTTGAAACCCCAGAGTTACTAAAAATAGAAAGTCGTGAAAAGATTATGAATTTCTTCTAAAAAGAACTGTTAATGTACTGAATACACTTTTTTCATAATTGCTGACGTCAGCATATTTTTTAACGATGTCAACCATTTTTAGCGATTTAAAAATCATTCCAATCAATTAAAGTTCTTTTGAAATACAGCAAAAGTATGTTACTTATTGGAAATATTAAATTTAATCTCTTAGCTTAAAATGAAAACTTGGTATGACGATAAACAACAATCGGCAATAAGGCTTCTGATCGGGAGATTGGAGGTTTTTGAGGAGCGTGGAACCACTGCTTAATTGCTGTTCTCAGGTCTACCCTGACTCGGGGTGGTAGCGCCTGTTAGGGTCTCAGCTATGGGCAAATAGTGCCCCCCCACCCAAAGAAAAGCAAGAACTATGAAAGTATAAAACGTACATTTAAATGCCAGTAAAAAATAACAGCAATACATTTTATATACAAGAGAATGACTAAGAATATCTATTTATAGGAAAATGACAATTACTTCAAAGCTTTCAATAAAATTAAACTTTGGCATTAAATGACCCATAAGGAATTAATATGGCACTGAACAAACCATCAATGATTGAAATGAAAACTAAAATAAAATCAAGATTTTCCGGTGTTACTTAAGTACGTGATCTATATGCATGATTCTTCTAAAATATATGATTATCTTAAAGAAAATGATCTACATACGCAACTTAAGTGTTATAGTGGAACACACCTATTCTATAGTTAATAGACTCTCCCACCTATAGTTGGTCAATCAGTCGATGTCGGTCGACCGGCTGAACTCTGCCTTCGGGCGGGGAGGAACACGAAAGAGGCTACGCCGAAGGGTGGATTCTCTTTCGGGGAGGTAAACCGACCCTGAACCAGTTTATACGGGTTCAATGGGCATTTTTTTGGCCGAGCCCACGGGTTCGGAGATCCCACGTTAAACCGGCCTTGTGCCACATGATGCCCACGTGGGGGGGGACTAAATATAGTCAGTCGATGCCGGACGACAGTTAGTCGGATATTAAAGTATCAGCCACCACAACTAGATTACTGCGTCATTACCTATTATATCAAGTTCCTAACGTTTTGTACGTCGAACCTATTTTAGGACCGACTTAGTACAAATACAAGCCTCCACTGTGAAAGTACTCTACAACATTAAGTAACACGTAAGTAGGACACAATGAATGAAGGCTTCCGGTTGAAAATTATATCATCCAACAACTAAAATTTATTTATTGCATTTCTGAATGATGTTCAAACTGTTTATAGACACTGATAGTATCAATTAAAACAATAATTTCCTTTTCTTTTTATAATATGGTATTATTTATTTAGCATATTATTAGAGTATATTAAATGAAGTCGTCTTATTCCGTATGTATCTATTTTTAATGTCTATTTGCATGTAGACGGTGTTCTCAACTCGGAAATCACATACTTTAGTGGTGCGTTATTACGATAGATCACACTCGGAAGATAGATACCAAGTGGCAAAGATTTTTCACTTTTAAAAATGCATTTTAAACTTTAGGTATCGCTTTTCTTTGGGAGACACCTATAAGTTACATCGTATTTATTTTCAAACGATTTTCAATCTAAAAGAAAAATAAGACATTTAATAAAAATGTCAAATTGTAATAAGTCAGAAGCTGTTATATATATATATATATATATATATATATATATGAGGGGATGCAAACAAGGAGGTGGCTTATACTTAACATCAGGAAGAGGCAGTTGAAGTTCCTGGGACACATAATGAAGGAGGGGGGCCTGGAGAATCTGATACTCACGGGTCGAATAGAGGGAAAGAGAGACAAAGGGAAAGAGAGACAAAGGGAAAGAGAGACAAAGGGAAAGAGAGACAAAGGGAAAGAGAGACAAAGGGAAAGAGAGACAAAGGGAAAGAGAGACAAAGGGAAAGAGAGACAAAGGGAAAGAGAGACAAAGGGAAAGAGAGACAAAGGAAAGAGAGACAAAGGGAGAGACAAAGGAAAAGAGACAAAGGAAAGAGAGACAAAGGGAAAGAGAGACAAAGAAAAAAGAGAGACAAAGGGAAAGAGAGACAAAGGGAAAGAGAGACAAAGGGAAAGAGAGACAAAGGGAAAGAGAGACAAAGGGAAAACAACGCATGACATACCTAGTGGGCTTAAGCAAGTGGATGACAAAACATGGTCTGGGGGAGGAAGCAGAGGGAAGGAAATTGTTGAGAGCTGCAAGGGATAGAGGTGGGGTGGAGAGCCATGATCGCCTACGTCCTGAAAGGACATGGCACATAAAAAGACAGTTTTAGTGTGATTTTCAATAAACAATGCAATTTTACAACATTTTATCTTATAATTTGTGCCTAGCAGTATTATATATATATATTTGTCTATTAATTATGACCTAACGAATTGGGCAAGATGTTATTCATTGATTAACCATTATTGTAATCTTTTACAATTTATTTTACAGTTTTTACTCATACAGTAAAAAATGCATTTTTTGCTTGTGGTGATTCATAATTAACATTCTGGTTTGAATATATTTTCCATTCACAGTATCTAAGACAAAGAATATCAACTTTATTTGGACTTATTCTTGAAATAGTAAAATGTTGAAGTCAGTTTGTAAGCAAAAACCAGCGGAAAGGTTTTTCTGTACATTTTTTTTTTTCCAGATAATCTTTAATGCTCAAAAATTAGTAAAAACAAGGAATCTAGTTTGCGGTGTTGATACCTATCACATCAAACCTCAGCATTCACAATGAGTGCAATGTCGGTTTTCTTAAAAAAAAAAAAAAAAAAAAAAATAACGTGAAAAATCAACCTGTCCTAATACTAGAGTAGCAACTTACTGTCAAAAAGTGATCTTTATTTTTTTTACATATATGAAATTAGTCAAAATTAGGTATCTCCATGAGATCGCCAAAAAAAAAAAAAAAAAAAAAAAAAGTGCATAGTCTGATGAAAAAGACGACAAACTTGACGAAAACAAAATTTTATCGCCAAAATGTTTGTTACTATTAAGAGGAAAGAACAAAGTAATTTTTAATTATTTTTTTTTAAATTTTTCTGTCTATTACATTCTAACTTTCGATTGAAAAACCTTGTTTCTCGTCATCACCGGAACTCTAGTAAAAATAACATGGCATAATAATTTTTTGTGCATTTTTTTCTTATGACACACATTAATTTTGAAAATCTTGCAAAAATAGAAATAATTGTCAAATTACGATCAGATTACGGCTAACGATCAATTTTCTGTCAATTTTTCTGATTAAAAAAAAAATGGAAGATTTTTAACGAAAATTGTTGACATTAAAAAAATGTAAAAAAATATTCAAAAAATACTTTTATCATTCCTCTTGATAATAACATTAACATTTAGACGATAAAAATTATTTTCATCAAGTTTAAGGCCTTTTTTATTCATGGTATGCTATTTTTTTTTATCGATCTCATGAACATACCTAGTTAAAACTAAACATTTTTAATACTATCTAAATACAAAAATATTTGGGGGCCATGAGAGAATTTGGTGACATTGTTTATATACTGGTATAGTTTTTAAATAAGTAGGTCAAAATTCGTGGGTTGGAAAATATGAAAAATAATTAACCTCAAACTCAGTAAAAAATAAAAAAATAAAAAAAAAGAGAACTTCTAAGATTAGCGTGGGGGTTTCTTTTTGTCTCAGATGGGATCGCGAACTGGGAATATGTCCTTTGACTTTCACTACCCCCAATTGCCATAAATGGTGAGGGGAAAAAATTTGTGAACGTGCATTTCTTTTGGGACAGTATTCAAAAATGTCTGTCAAAACTGTTTGGGGTGGGGCAAATGTAAATAGACTTTACGGATTTTCTGCATATATAGCAGCCTTACATAGATACATCAAAATAGTTAGATCTTTTTCGGGAAGAACAAAGAAAAAAATGAAGATGGGTGGCATATATATTCAAAATATTATGTCTATCACAAAGATTGATATGATATATATATATTTATATTATATTTGCGTATGCAATAGTATCCTCAAAACCATTCCTCCATAAAGAAAGGAATTTACTAGACAAGCTAAATTAATAGATCTTTGGAAATAAAAAATAAAAACTACACTATAACTATTTGTATGTGTTAAGTCTAAAAGCGTACTACCCCTTCCCCCCGAAAATACCCAAACGGGTCGGGAGCAAGCTTGGTTGGGCGCCCAGGGCAGTGCTTTGTGAGCATCGCTATCTTATCAACATTTGCTTTTTTTCTATCGACACTTATAGAAGTTACAAATTAAACGAAGAAAAAATGACTATTAACGACTAAAATATTTTCGAGGATTTTAGGTTGTTGTTGCTGTTTTCTTTAATTTTTTTTTTTTTTTTTTGTGTGTTGAAATCTGAATTTGTTTTGCTCATGTTAAGTCTGGAAGAAAACACTATATAAAATTCACTATTTTTTTATCCGTAATGCTGAAAATTAATTAACTTTTTAAGAAAAACCTTAAAAATTGCCACAGAACAGATTTACTATGACATGTCCCTAATTTGTATTTGGATACATTGTATTTTTTTTTTCAATTTTTCCTAATTCAATTGTTCACCTATATCGCATAGAATCCATTATTGTACATAATTAGGTTATAATATCAGGTCATCCTATAAGTTCTGTCCGAATTTTAACTTTTTGTTAAAATGAACGAAATTTAAAGAGTATTTTATAATGTCTAATGGAAGTGAACATTATTTTTATGTTTAGATACATTTAAACTGATCAAATTTTATTTCAGAGAACAATTAAATTTTGTTTGATTAAAACCCTGCTAACATGGAAGTACCCAAGAATCATTTGAGGCACATAATGCTTTATGAGTTCAAGAAAGGAAACTCAGCAGCCGAAGCGGCTAGAAACATTCACTCAGTTTATGGAGAGGAATGTGTGAATGAAAGAACTTGCAGAAGATGGTTTGCAAAATTCAGAGGTGGAGATTTCACCCTTGAAGATGAAGATCGAACCGGACGTCCAGTTGAGTTTGATGAAAAGCTTCTTGAAGCAGCCCTTGAAGAAAATCCTGCTTTAGCAGTTGAGGAATTGGCAGTGGTTCTCAGTTCAAACCATACAACTGTTCATCGTCATCTTCAACAACTTGGAAAATGGGTGCCTCGTGAATTGTCTGAAAACAACCTCAAATCCCGAACGGACATCTGCTCTTCTCTCCATTCTCGCCAACTTGTTTCACCTTTTTTGGATAGACTTGTGACTGGCGACGAAAAATGGATCTTTTATCCAAATGTTAAGCGTCGTAGACAGTGGCTTGGTAAAGGGGAAGGACCCCAGCCACAGCCGAGAAGGGAACTTCATGGGCAAAAGGTTCTTCTTTCAATCTGGTGGGATCGCCAAAGAATAATCCACTTTGAATTCTTACCACCTAATGCAACAATTAATGCTCAAATATACTGTCAGCAATTAGAGCGTTTGAACCAAGCTTTGAGGAAAAAAAGACCTGCTCTAGTGAATCGAAAAGAGGTGATGTTTCATCAGGACAATGCGCGACCCTACACAGCAAGAATTATGTCACAAAAGATTGAACAACTTGGTTGGGAGAAAATTCCTCATCCACCTAATTCTCCCGATCTTGCTCCTTCAGACTACCATTTGTTTCGTAGCTTGTGGAATCATTTGGAAGAAACAGCTTTTGTAACAAAGGAAGAGGTTAAAACTGACATTTGTGAGTTCTTCGAATCAAAGCCAAAAGAATTTTACAATAATGAAATTAGTAAGATTGTTAATAGATGGAAGGAAGTCATAGATAATCAGGGGAAAATACATTGTTGATTGAATCTGTAATTAAATGTAACATTTGGTCACTTGTTTTCTTTATTCAAAATTCGGACAGAACTTATGGGATGACCTGATAAAATTTGTATTTTATATGAATACTACCTTATGAAGTAGAATGGAGGGTCCTGTATCATTAATTCACGAGTCTCTTTCAAAAATTAAGTGTAAGTATTCATCGGAGTAAAAAGTGATATTTACGCTGTTCGGGTATATTGTCAAGCCAATTTCTTTTACTGTCTTTTAGTTTCTTATTACGTCGACTTACGTGCTAATATACTTGGGAAAGGTAGGAATCCTCTTCTCCCCCAACTATGGATAAATAGCAGGACAGACTGGGTTCTATAGCCTTGGATGGTAACTGGTCTACCGCAGAAAGAAATGGTAACCTACTGCAGGGAAAAAAATCTGCCTCGTCAGTCATGTATCAAAATATACACTATTGCCTAAGCATGTATCACGCATGGGACATAACTGGCTGAGTCCGAAACACGTCACATGAAAAAAAAAAAAAAAAGTCCAATCATTGATTTTCCTAATGTTGTTCTGGAATATAAAAAAAAATGATATATAAATTTTTATATTCCAGAATGTATATTTGGACAGTAACCTTTCTTTCAATCATTTTTCATTAAATACGGCTGACAAGGAAGATTTAAAAATTTTTATTAAGTTTTCCAGCATCCTTACGCTTTTCAGTTTTGTAGGAACAACGGCTGAGGGTACAAACATTTTCCATTGTCCCAGCGCTTTTGTTCAGTTCTATAGCCATTTTCAAGGGTTTTTTGTATCTGGTGTTATTTTTCCCCCTCATGTTCTGACGCTTACGTTGTAATTTACTTTTTGTGTTTTAAATAGGAGCGTTCATTCAGAGCCTTCACATGTTGCGCGCAGCTGGAACTCGCGTGGGCATTTATCTATTTTTTAGAAATGCTTTTAACACTTCATTTCCACTGCTAAGTAATGTGAGGTTGATAAGAGAAAAATGTTTGATATACAGGGCCTCTCTAATATATATATATATATATATATATATATATATATATATATATATATATATATATGTGTGTGTGTATTATATATAATGCATTTAAAAAGTAAAAAAAAAAAAACTTTATTCGCGAATCTGTCAACACAATACGATTCACTTTATGAAAAAAATATCTTTAAAAAAATAAAATATACTTTTCTGAAACTGACGATGAATAACTAATTTGAAATGTAATTAATATGATTTCAAACAAATATTACTTTTAGTTTAAAATATCTCAGAAAAGCATTTTTTTAACACTGGGGTGAGTATTTTGATGAGGTTTCGAAAACT